CTCCTTGAGCTTGCCAGCCTCGACGAGTCTCTTGGTCTCGCCGGTCCAGACAGCCTTGATCTCATCAGCAACCTTGAGTCCGTTGAGCTTGCCAGCAAGAGCAGCAATCTCATCGGGGTCAATCTTGGCCTGGATGGTCTCGACATCGCCGAGAACGGAGTCGATATCAGCGGGCGTGGGCTCGCCGGCAGCGAAGTAGTTGGCGTCCTTGACGGAACCCTTGAGGACACGCTTGTTCTTCTTGACAGCGTTCTTGGCAGCCTCCTTTGCCTTCTTGGAGGATTCACGGTCAGCCTTGGCAGCAGCCTCGGCCTCCTGGCGAGCCTTCTCCTCAGCGAGCTTAGCGGCCTCAGCATCCTCCTTGGCCTTCTTCTCAGCAGCCTCGCGCTCGAAACGCTTCTTGTTCTTGGCAGCGTTGGCCTCCTGTCGGAATCGCTTGATACGCTCATCACCGGCGGAAGCGTCGTCCAGCAGCTTGCGGAGACGGGCGTTGTCGTCAGCCTTCTTCTTCTTGCGAGCGTTGGTGTTCTTGCGCTCCTGGTGTCGCTTCTGGTCACGGTTCTCGTTGTCATCGGGAACATCCTCATCGAGGTACTCGAAAGTTCTCCAGCTGTCGAAGTTGTACCAGAAGTTGTAGAATTCCTCGACCTGCTCCTTGGTGGCGTCGGCGCTGCCGAATGAGGGGATGGGGTGAGTCTTGGAGAAGCGAGCCTCAGACTTGAAGACCTTGCTCCATGCCTTATAGTAGTCGGTCTTCTGGAGTTGCTTCTTGGTGGGGGGCTCGACGTCGGCCTCCTCATCGACGGAGTCGAACTGGCGACGCTTGATGGGGTCGAGGAGGACGTCGGTGGCCTTCTGGATACACTTGAAGAACTGATCATCCTCGGTGCGGCCCTGAGCGGCCTTCTTATCGGGGTGGTGCTTGAGGACCTTCTTGCGGTGAGCCTTCTTGATCTGGTCCTCAGTAGCCTTCCATCGGTACTTGGAGAGACCGAGAATCTTGTAGTGGTCCTGGGTCTAGATTACGCTTGTTAGTATGGAATATTGTCTCGAATCATTGTAAGTACACACCTTCCAGTCCTTGGCCTCACGCTGGAGCATCATAGGGTCCTCAGGCTCGCTCTCATCGCTGACGTCGCCATCCTCGACGTTCTTGGTGCTCTCCTGAGCCTGGATACGGTCATCCTCAGAGAAAGTACGCTTGTGGCGGGCACGGCGAGCGTGGGCGAGGAAGTGAGGTCCAACGGGCTCGATGGTTCGCTGAGTAGCCTCAGTGAGCTTGCCGATGGCCTTGAAGTCCTTTTCCGCAGCCCAGCCGCTGGGAAGGGCGGGAAGGGGGATGGTCACGGTAGCCACAGAAGCCATTATGTGATGTGTGGATTGGTGGTGATGGAGAGAGGGAGAAAAATCCCGACGTTTTTTTGGCTGTAATAATTTTTTTCAATGGCACACTTAATCGAGTTCCCCCACTATGGACGGCTTGAACTCATTGGCGGGGTAAAGGTTCTAGTGGACGATCGGACACTTACAGCGGGATGGTGCTCTAGAATGCTCTACCACGGCGTTTTCATGTGCCCGGATCCGCCTGAGTATTCCCAGCTCAGTGATCGGGCTCTCCCGGTACAGTACCTAGCCATCGAAACCATCCAATCCAGCTGGACTTGAACTGGACTTTTTTTTATGTTCGATTTCCAAGCAGTTTCAACTCGACCACGACAGCCCCAGCACGATAGCTACGACCCCCTGTTGCGACAGTCCTTCCTTTCAGTTCGAATACTTTTCATTCGCTAGAATTATCAAATTTCAACATGGCCACCGCTCCAGCTCCCGCTCTCAATGCTTACCGACACCTACTGCGCGCGGCGCGAATCGCTTTCCAAGGTACGAGACAGTTCTGGAACCGAACTTCGAATACAGTCGATTCCATGTTCAAGACTGCTCGTTCCAATGGGTTATGCTGACTGTCCAATTCACTGCAGGCGACGCCCCTATCCTCTCTGCCGCCCAGCTTCAGATCCGCAACGAATTCCGCCAGAAAGCCTCGGTCGATGCTGCCGATGCTTCTGCAGCGATTAAGCATGCCGAAGAGGTAGCAAAAGTCCTTCGTCAGAACGTTGTCCAGGGTCAAAGAACAGAGGAGGGCAAAGACACCTTCAGTAAGTTCAGACTAGTTGGAAGAGGGCGAAAACGGAAGCTAATAATATTTACAGAGCTCAGAATACACGAAGATATTGAGCGAGGCGATAATGAGTCTATCAAGACAGCTGGAAAGGGCACAGTTGGAGGTGGCTGCTGCGGTGGTGGTGGTAAAAAATGAGAGGAGACTACCTATTAGTCCCATTGTACAATTTGTAACATTATCTGACTATCATGATACCCTCCAGGAATGAAATGCACCAAAATGATCATCACTCTAGAACAGCTCTTTGCTTCCCTTCTATTCCTGTTTCTCACGTAATCTGTTACCTCCATGATCAATTGTCCTTTTCGCTAATGAAGACCACCCTATCCATGATGTCCTTTTCCCGACGCCAAACTCCAAAAGGCATGGTTTTCTACCTTGTGATGAACATAAAACAAGTCGTTACTTCATTTAGTCTCCGGTAAGAGCGGCGTAAGCAGGCGTGTCGGAAGCTCCTGGGGGTGCTGCCACAGGGGCTGGCAGAACCTGACGGTTGGCCGAACTACTGCCACCCTCGATCGATCGCTGGCCTTGAGATCCTCCTTGGCGCTGTCTAGCATCTCGCAGTATCTGCGTCCTCTCATCCTTGTCCATGGTACCAATAGCCTTTGGTTGTCCCCATCGAACCCTTAGGGGACATCCTGCAATAACGGCGCGACCCTGGCATGCTTCAGCTGCCCTCTCAGCAGCCTCTCGAGTCTCGTAGTTGACAAATGCGCAGTGCGACATGTGTGAGCAGACCAAGCTCTTGATTTTGCCGTGAACCTTAAAGAAGTCGCGAAGTTTGTACTCGGGAAGATCGTCCTCAATACCCGTCACGAAGAGTGACATGATGTTCTTGTCAGCAGGAGGAGCCCAGTCGCGTGGGTTAGGAGCGAGCTGGGCAGCACTGGGAAAGACCTGGCGACCGTTACCACCAGTCCTAGCTCTCGCAGCAGCGGCTGCCTTCGAGTCTCGGGTTCGAATTGGGCCAGGTCCTCCAAGACCAGCGCCGACAGCTGCGTTTCCACCCTTGGAACTCTCTCCCTCCTCGATAGTCCTGCCCTTACGAAAGTAAGGCTTGCTGTTGGCGAGTCTTCGTAGCAGTTCGCGCGCCTTCTCGTCCGTCTTTTCGTATTCCTCCTGTCCAACCTTTCCCTCCTCGATGAGCTGCTCATTGTTTTGCGCAAAGTATTCTCGGTTGATATCTGACTGCGGGCCGGGCGCGACCATCTTGAGTGCAGCATCGCGTACGACGATGGGGAGACCGAAGGAAAGATCGAGCATGCAGCACTGGCAGCAGTTCTTGAGTCGCGCGCAAGTCAAGCAAATGTTTGTTCGCTTCTTACGACCGTTGGCTCGAGTACCGCTCCAGGCAAATACGGTGAAAGGTCTGGTACACTATTCAGATATATGTTAGCATTGTCTCTATGCGAAAACACGGAGCAAATCGACGCGAAAGACTTACCAATTTGCATTCCGCACCATAATCCTCTTTAAGCATCTTGACATAAGGATTGTCAGGTAGACACGTCTCGCAGACGGAGGGGAAGTCGGTGGTCTCCCATCCTGATCGGTTGAGATCCTGCTTGATCTGAGGCGGCATCGTGAGTAGATAGAGAGTAACGGTTTTGCGCAGAGAAAAGCTTCTAGTTGACTGTGATGACTTTTAGAGTTGAGGCGCGGAAATTCGGTCATCCGCCACCTTATGTAATACAAAATATGGCCTCAGACTCCAAACCTAAAACCGGAGTTGGCCGTCATTGGGCAGAGGGGCTATAGTCTTATCGATAAGCCTCGGTAATAACATCTCCTGGTCATCTCGGACAGAAAGATGTAAGTGCCCAATCGTGACTGGACCATTTGGTTTGGAGGATTTGCACGAGACAGATCGATAATGTGATGGCTTTGTCATAAGATCTGTTTTCCACCATTCATCTACTCTAAATTTCTAGAGAAATCATCTGCTGTTAGTAGATCTGGGGGCTTCTCATGATATGAGGTGGACATGAATGGTTCGATACGAAAACGAAAATTCTCTATTTGGCAATTCAAAAGTTGGAGAAGTCCCAAACATGATGCAGCATTGTAGGCAATATGATAGACTAGTTATCATCATGACGGAACCTGTCCGGCTACAGCCTTCGCTCGATTGTTTAGTTGGTTATCATGACTTGCATTGTTATCTTGTTGTAAGAGACAATGTTCTCGTAGACGCTTTCGTATTCGTATCATTTCTCGCAAATTGAGCCTCCGGATACCTCCTCCTAGCATCCATCAATTAGCTGCTGCGCTCTCACCGCCATACAATTACGAATTGTGGCGAAAGGAGATATAACTGCAAGAATAATTTGGTCGATTAATGCAATAGCAAATCAAAACTTGTCCAAAGAAATTAACAACTCGTTCAAGTCCTTGTCTTTCACATGAAGGCCAGAGTCATGGAGAGTCAACTTAGCATCCGTAAATTACCTAGGTACTTCGGGTCGTAAACTATCGGGTCGCCTAGACCAAGAACCCGCCCCCCTAGACCCCCAAGCGATAGACAGGGGAACCAATGCAGTTCAGGTTTAGCGTACTGTTACTTCTCAATTCGCAATTGAGATTGGATGCCCATAGACGGGATGGCTTGTGCAGTTCAGGGGAGGGCCCTGAAATTTGTTTGTTGCGACAGGTCGTCCCTCTGCGTAACCTTCAGCCATTAAAACCAACCCACTCCCTTTAGATTTCTACTTTTCAATCGATCTTTAATTCGCCTGCTGTCCTTCTCTTCTTTGCATTGACTTCGATTCTCTTCCAACCTTAACCTTCACCTTCAACACTTTACACCATATTCAACATGGTTGCCTCATCTACCGCCTCCAACCTCGAGCGCGAGGATCATCAGCGCGATGCCGACTTCAACAAGGCCATGCACGGCTCCTCTGCCCAGGCCCGAGGTGGTGTTGCTGCTATGTTCCGAAAGGGCGGCTCTGCTAAGCAGGCTGCTGTCGACGAGTACTTCAAGCACTGGGACAACAAGCGCGCTGAGGACGAGACTCCTGAGGAGCGAGCTGTATGATCCCTTGATATGCCCCGCCATGAACAAATAGGAGGAACTAACATAGCGGTCAGGCCCGTACTGCCGAATACGCCACTTTGACTCGACAGTAAGTGATCTGATTCCTGTCTCTGTTTCTCCGTGGCCATTTGGTCCATGCCTTGGAACGTCTGTTTTTGGACTGTCGACTGACTTTGCGTTCACAGCTACTACAACCTTGCTACCGATCTCTACGAGTATGGCTGGGGCCAGTCTTTCCACTTCTGCCGATTCTCCCAGGGCGAGCCCTTTTACCAGGCCATTGCCCGCCATGAGCACTACCTTGCTCACCAGATCGGCATTAAGGAGGGCATGAAGGTTCTCGACGTCGGTTGCGGTGTTGGTGGTCCCGCTCGCGAGATCGCCAAGTTCACTGGCGCCCACATTACCGGTCTTAACAACAACGACTACCAGATTGAGCGTGCTACCCATTACGCTTTCAAGGAGGGTCTGTCAGACCAGCTCAAGTTTGTCAAGGGTGACTTTATGGTTCGTATTGCCCAGCATCCTCGGGTCCCGACCCCCAGCTAACACCCCCTTTAGCAAATGTCCTTCCCTGACAACAGCTTCGATGCCGTCTATGCCATTGAGGCTACTTGCCACGCTCCTACTCTCAAGGGTATCTACAGCGAGATCTTCCGAGTTCTCAAGCCCGGTGGTGTTTTCGGTGTGTACGAGTGGCTCATGACCGACGAGTACGACAACGACAACCTCCGCCACCGTGAGATTCGATTGGGTATCGAGCAGGGTGATGGTATCTCCAACATGTGCAAGGTCTCTGAGGGACTTGACGCCATCAAGGACTCTGGTTTCGAGATGCTCCACCACGAGGATCTTGCCATGCGCCCTGATGCTCTCCCCTGGTACTGGCCCCTGGCTGGTGAGCTCCGCTACATCCAGTCCGTTGGTGACATCTTCACCATTGTGCGCATGACCACCTGGGGACGAACCATTGCCCACGGTCTGGCTGGTCTTCTTGAGACATTCAAGCTTGCTCCTGCGGGAACCAAGAAGACTGCTGACAGTCTGGCTCTTGCTGCCGACTGCTTGGTCGCAGGTGGTCGCGATCACCTCTTCACCCCCATGTACCTCATGGTGGCTCGCAAGCCTTCTGCGTAGAGCAACAGGCTGATGACAACAAAATTCCAAAACAAAAACATCTTATGAAGATCAAAAAGGGCATTCAAATCATGCTGGCTGATGATGCACACATATATGAAGTGGCCGGCCTCGAGATATAGAGGATCCAGAAGGCAGAGGAGTTTGGGGACAATGCTGGCTTATAATTGTAATATACATACCATACAATTTCAAATTTCTTGTCAATGATAGCCTGATCGGCCATGATACAACATCAATTGAATCATATCAACATTCGGTACTGGGGTGATGTCTTATTAGCGGTTTCTTGTTTCTCCGGCACCGCCATCTGACTGTATTCAAGCAGATAAAGCACTCAGTTTTTATGTTTTTGGTGGAGATAAATGGTCCCCCAATGCGCCCCTGGATCCCCCAACAGACTTTCGAAATGGGTCGGAGGGTTCTGCTCTGAGCTGTGATAGGTGCTTCAGCGCTAGAGGCTACCCTGCGAAAACAGTGCTGCAGTGAGTGGCAGGGGTCGCATCAGAGTTGCTGTAGGCGGGGAGCAAGAAGAGGGATAAAGCTGCCCCGAGCTAACGGAGGCTCACTCGGGGGTTTTGGAGAGCGGGTACCCCATTAGTCACCTGAAATTGGTGAGGGCTCAAGTACCTCGCAGTTCCGGCACGATACGTACCGACTGGCCCCAAAAAAAAACTGATAGCTGGCCAGCGAAAGCGTTGTTCGGTGAAATTCCCTCTCTCAACCCGACCTGTTCCATCTCTCAACACCAACTTCAGTTCATCACCATTTCCAATTCCCACGTCAAAGTCGACGACCAGGGAATTAAGAGAAGCCTGTCCACTGCAGCTTCTTGTCTTTCAAGTTCTGTTCTGTCTTCCCCGTCGACCCTCCGACCTCGTCCTCTCCGACTCCACGGTCAATTGACTTGTTCAACAAACCGACGCACATCATGTCTCGCATTCTCCGACCCGCAGCTCGCCTAGCTGCTTCGACCCGGGCTCTTCGCGCTCCTGCTGCCCCTTCGTTCGCCCAGTCTGCCGCTGCTCGCGCTGCTCTTGCTCGACCTGTTGTCTTTGGTTCCGCCCAGACCCGATCCTACGCCGACGGCCAGAGCTCTGGTGTCAAGGAGGTCACTGTCCGAGATGCGCTCAACGAGGCCCTCGCCGAGGAGCTTGAGCAGAACGAGAAAGTCTTCATTCTCGGTGAGGAGGTTGCTCAGTACAACGGTGCCTACAAGGTGACCAAGGGTCTTCTCGACCGCTTCGGTGAGAAGCGTGTCATTGATACTCCCATTACTGAGTCGGGTTTCTGTGGTCTCGCTGTTGGTGCTGCCCTCAGTGGTCTTCACCCCGTCGTAAGTATCTCAGCTTCCGCATTGTGATTGCCCGAGACTCTAACCACTGTGCTTCACCAATCTAGTGTGAGTTCATGACCTTCAACTTCGCCATGCAGGCCATCGATCAGATCATCAACTCTGCTGCCAAGACCCTCTACATGTCTGGTGGTATCCAGCCTTGCAACATCACCTTCCGTGGCCCCAACGGCTTCGCTGCTGGTGTCGGCGCTCAGCACTCTCAGGACTACTCCGCCTGGTACGGCAGTATCCCCGGTCTCAAGGTTGTGTCTCCCTGGAACTCCGAGGATGCCAAGGGTCTCCTGAAGGCCGCCATCCGTGACCCCAACCCCGTCGTTGTTCTCGAGAACGAGTTGATGTACGGACAGACCTTCCCCATGTCCGAGGCTGCCCAGAAGGACGACTTCGTCATTCCCTTCGGCAAGGCCAAGATTGAGCGATCCGGCAAGGACCTGACCATTGTCTCCCTCGGCCGCACTGTTGGCCAGTCTCTTGTTGCCGCCGAGAACCTCAAGAAGAAGTACGGTGTTGAGGCTGAGGTGATCAACCTGCGATCCGTCAAGCCTCTCGATGTTGAGACCATCATCCAGTCCGTCAAGAAGACCGGTCGTCTCCTGTCCGTCGAGTCTGGCTACCCTGCCTTCGGTGTCGGATCTGAGATCCTTGCCTTGACAATGGAGTACGGCTTCGACTACCTCGATGCCCCTGCTGCCCGTGTCACCGGTGCTGAGGTCCCTACCCCTTACGCCCAGAAGCTCGAGGAGATGTCCTTCCCCACCGAGCAGCTGATTGAGGACTACGCTGCCAAGGTCCTCCGTCTGTAAAAAAAAAGAGAAATGAAGGTTGAGAGAGAAATATAGTTTACCTGCTCGAGCATGTCAGGTCGACGCCCATGCCTACGTATCGTGTATGACAGAGCTTGCTTCATGCTACCCATCGTGGCATATGAATTGCGATGCGGATGAGAATCTGGTCCAATTGGCGTATTTGATGGACACTTTTTTGATAGACGTGCGGAAGGGAAGGGAAATGTAATTTTACCGCGTGTTGCCATGTATAGTCAGGGCATAGCATCCGTCTTATTAATGATCTACCAATTCACATTTGTGCATCTAACACTGTGACCTGTGTTTGTAGTTTGCCATGTATCCGCTCAGCAGTCATAGGAGAATCTCGGGATCTAATACATGATCATAGAGGTTTCGCCAACAACTGTGTAGAGATCTTTTTCCCCTGATGCAGTCTCGAAGGCCTATTTGGAAGTCATTGTCTTCTGAGACTGCCCCTTGGTGCAGCAAAAAATTTGAGACCTTTGTCCTAAACGACAAGAATGATTGATCATAAGCCCTAAGCTCACCTAAATATTGCTTAGGGTAGACGTCCTTGATTTTATTCTGTGACCCTTCTACACCTGTAGAGACTCGGTCAGTCAAATCTTTATATTAAATCCATGATATTTGTAGGTGCAGGGTAGTCAATGTGGAGCTGTGAGCTCTTATGAGTGTCCCGCCATGAATGTCAGAATCACCAACGTCAATGGTGGGGCAGTTTTAACTTGGAGCTTTCATCACTTCAATATTCATTTTATCATAACGAATTCAACCTCACAGTCTTGCCTATAACCTGACTCAAAAATTAATAGGCATGGCTGGTATCGACGCTCTCCTTGAAAGAGGGCCTGAAGAGACCGGTCAACGCCAACCCGCAACTCAAGATCCAGAAGAGCTCAAGCGACACCTGGAGGAGCTCCTCCTCACACCCTCACCTGAGTTCTCACCAGAGTGGCTCAACCGACTTCAGCAGCGATGGGATTATGAGGCCGACTACACTTCGCTTTACAAGGTTGCCCCGCCGCATACTCGGACTCTCACCAGATTCCAGCGTCATGGACTTGAAGGCCGTGTTACAGGCTACAAGAACGTCACTGTCCCCGCAAACAGTGCCACGGCCAAGAACTCGACAAGTCTGTCTCGAAAGCCTGCCAACCGTGCTGACTTCGTGAGAGGCGCCGCTGGTTTCTTTCCCTTCGCTCCTGGTGGCCTCGAGGGCATCGAAGCAACGGCGGCATTTGAGGATCAAGTTCACACGGGTGTTGCAGGAAGTGCTGCAGAGACCAGTGGTACAGGAAACAAGCTTGAACGAGTGATCCAGCTTGGCTCCGAGGGTGGATTACTAGAAAAGGCTCCTGGAATGAGCAGAGGTATCGACTTCACTAAGAAAAAGACAAGTATCAGCCAAGAAGATGCCAACGCTGTCAAGGAGGTACTCGAAGAAGATCCGGAAGACGCCAAGGCCGAAGAAGGTGGTAATGAGGCTTCAACAGACGTTACTACTCCGGATGCAACTCCCGACGAAGATGGGGAGGATGGCGATGACATCGACGACATCCTGCCTGTTGAGTTCCCTGCCCTGGAACCACATGGAGTTCTTGCAGCCTCGAGTGCCCGCAAAGCTGGTCGCGAGTGGGCGCATATGGTCGACATCAACCACGATATGTCCAACTTCAGAGAGCTTGTACCTGACATGGCTAGAGAGTGGCCTTTCGAACTCGACACTTTCCAGAAGGAAGCAGTTTACCACCTAGAGAACGGCGATTCAGTGTTCGTTGCAGCACATACTTCAGCCGGCAAGACTGTTGTGGCAGAGTATGCCATCGCACTGGCTGCTAAACACATGACCAAGGCCATTTACACTTCGCCAATTAAGGCACTGAGTAACCAGAAGTTCCGTGACTTTCGACAGACCTTTGACGAGGTGGGAATTCTCACTGGTGATGTCCAGATCAATCCAGAGGCTAGTTGCCTCATCATGACAACGGAAATCCTTCGAAGTATGCTCTACAGAGGCGCCGATCTAATCCGCGATGTCGAATTTGTGATATTTGACGAAGTCCACTATGTCAACGATTTTGAACGAGGTGTTGTCTGGGAAGAGGTCATCATCATGCTGCCTGAACATGTGTCTCTCATTCTGCTGTCCGCCACAGTTCCAAACACTAAGGAGTTTGCTTCGTGGGTTGGACGAACGAAGCAAAAAGACATCTACGTTATTTCTACACCGAAGCGGCCCGTTCCCCTGGAGCATTATCTCTGGGCAGGAAAGAACATCCACAAAATCGTGGACTCGGAGAAGAAATTCATCGAAAAGGGCTGGAAGGACGCACACTTTGCTATTCAAGGAAAGGACAAGCCAAAGCCTGCAGAGACCACTGTCGCCACTCGTGGAGGCAATCCCCGAGGTAATCAACGTGGTGGTACTCAACGAGGCGGCCCCCAGCGTGGTGGTCGTGGAGGAGGCCAACAGCAGAGAGGAGGTAGTCAGCAACGTGGTCGGGGCGGACCACCACGAGCGAGCCATGCTCCTGGTCATATGGGCCGTGGAGGCCGCGCTGGAGGTTTCACGTCTGTTGCACAAGACAAGAACCTCTGGGTTCATCTTGTGCAGTATCTCAAGAAGTCAACCCTCCTGCCAGCTTGTATCTTCGTCTTCTCGAAGAAGCGATGCGAGGAGAACGCAGATGCCCTCAGTAACCAAGACTTCTGCACTGCTGCTGAGAAGAGCCATATTCACATGATAATCGAAAAGTCAGTAGCACGGCTAAAGCCTGACGACCGACAGCTTCCACAGATAATCAGGCTGAGGGAGCTTCTAAGTCGAGGTATTG